TTATTGAATACTACACTGAAGCATAATGGCTCAGTTATTATGGGATCAAATCAAATGACATTCTGCATGCAGATAGTACATGATGAGACCCATGGAAAAACACTTCTAATTTTGTTGCCAAGGTAACAATGTCGTTCCCAGGTCCCTATTATTTTATTTTTATCAGTACCATAAATAAAGCTGTTTTATAAAATTGGCGCAAGGGACCTGGGAACGACATTGTTACCTTGGCAACAAAATTAGAAGTGTTTTTCCATGGGTCTCATCATGTACTATCTGCATGCAGAATGTCATTTGATTTGATCCCATAATAACTGAGCCATTATGCTTCAGTGTAGTATTCAATAAACATTCTTACCAGCTAATGACGTCACACTTTGTGCTGAATCAGCAATTTATATTTTGCACATTTTTGCATATAACTTCGGAACTAGATGAGATAGAATAGAGCATTAAACGGCCAAGCGGCTTATTTTTTCATGCACTTTCAGATGAAGCAATAAAATGAATAAAATTGCCCATACCCTTTAAACAAGGTCACAGAATAAGGAAGCACAACATGCTATTATTTTTTTCCTGCCAAGTTATAGTTTGTTGTTACTTCATCTTGCAAGGAGATAGTGCATCAACGATAATAACAATATAAAAACGCTAAATATGGCGCACTATCCGTAACTCGAAATATGCCTGACCCTAACATGGCCGAAACTATTCTTTTGATCTAATATAAAGTAGTGACCTGTCTAACCTATTACACAAGACTACTTTGCAACTAGGCCCAGTTCCATAAATTAAAATCTATTATTTATGAAAATCATTATTTCTGCAAAGTATTTATTTTAATCCCTATTTTGAATTTATTTTATATTCTGAGAGGTCCAGAAGGGGGTCCAGAAGGAGGTCCAGAAGGGGGTCCAGATGAGGGGGTCCAGCTTTTGTACCCTCCCGTTCGTGGCCTTTATAATAAATTCCGATAAAATTCCAGTTGCGAAGTACATTTGAGATCAGTTGAATTTGAATTATTACTTTAGCGCAAGCATGATCATGGCTGACATATAGGCTTATATATATAAGCAGTATAAAAAGCTTTCAGTTTCATTACAATAGATGTTTTTTCTTCTCAACAAGACAACGGAATGTCTAAGTTATTGTTATTGTAATTGTTAAAATCAGCAGCTATACAAACTGAATTCACACACGTGATCCACATTATAGGGCTCCTGCAGATGGGCCATAACGGATATTTTCCGAATCAAAGGTGGATTAAAGGCGAGCAAATAATAAATTCTTTAGGGTAACACGTTCCACAGAGGGCAGATATACGGACAAAGTATGATTCACGAAATGTACTGCATATCAAAACTAAACCAAACTGATTCCACTAAACTTTGGAAACATATCAATGAATTGGTACCAAATAATTCAAAATCAGCGCCAACGGCAATAAAAGACGGTGAAACCACCCTTACTGACGCAAAAGATTTATGCGAGTCTTTTAACAATTATTTTTCCACAGTCGTTTATAAGTACTTACCAACAAGCAACCTAGATCCTGACCTAGAACAACTAAATGACTTTGTTAGCAGTAAAATTACTGATGATATTCTTCTTACAATACCACCTTTAACGTGTGATGAAGTTTTTCAATTACTCAATCAATTAGATCCTCATAAAGCTACTGGTTTGGATGGATTGTCCTCCAAAATACTCAAAATGTCAGCTTCAGTCATTGCAGAACCTTTAACCTTGATTCTTAATCAAAGCATTACTTACGGTTACTTCCCAATGCGATGGAAAACTGCAAGAGTTGCCCCAGTTCATAAATCGGGAAGTCGTACTGAAAAAAGTAATTACCGTCCAATCTCCATTCTCTGTATTGTAAGTAAACTGTTGGAACGTCACTACCATAACAGCATAACCACCCACTTAATATCTTTTGACCTACTGTGTGAAGGACAATCAGGATTCCGACGCTACCATTCTTGTGAAAGTGCAATTGTTAAGTTGGTATAGATACATGGCTTACAAATATTGAACATGGAAAACTTAATGGTGTAACATGCACTTATTGATTTTCGAAAAGCATTTGACATGATCAACATCGATATTCTCATCTCCAAGCTTAAGTGTTATCGTTTCGATGAAACTCTAATTAAATAGATGCATTCTTATCTGTCCGGAAGATATCAGTGTGTTCAAATTAAAAATCACATTTCATCAATAGCTCCTGTTTCATTTGGCGTACCACAAGGAAGTATTCTGGGACCGCTTCTATTTATTTTATTTGTTAACGATCTCCCTTTACATAGTAACCAGAGCGTAGATCTTTATGCTGATGATTCCACCTTGCACTCCTCTGGAAATTCCATGAACCAGTTGAATTGCACACTCTCGTCTGCCATGGAAGACATCGAGCAATGGAGCACATTTAATGGGATGGTGATTAATGGCGAGAAATCAAAATCTATGGTGATTTGTACATATCAAAAATCTACGAAAATTGTCTCTTCTGAACTCCATATCAATTACAACAATACTGTGCTTGAAAATGTAAAATCAAAAAGATTGCTGGGTGTGATTGTTGATAATCATCTCTGTTAGAAAGCCCATATCAATGATCTAGCTTCTAATCTGAGTAAACTTATCGCTCTGTTCCGCCGAATCAAAATGTATCTGCCACTTCAAACAAGGATTCTATTTTATAAAACGTTCTTTCAACCAAGGATTGATTATTACTGCACCGTTTGGGGACGATCACCACACACTTCAAGAATATACAAACTACAAAAACTTATCCTAAAACTAATTTATGATAAATCAAAACTTTCTCCATCTAAACCACTTTTCGAACAGTCAAACATTTTACCAATAAAGTACAGAGTTATGTATAGGGTAGTTTGCCTAGTTTATAAATCCCTAAATAACTTGACTCCAGACTATTTAAGTAATATGTTTAAACCATTGTCAACAATTTCCCAGCGACATACAAGAAGCACTGCCAATATGGACTTATGGATACCAAACTATAAACTATCAATCACCAGGAGTGGACTTCGGTACACTAGAGCATATTTTTATAATATGTT